CCGGCTTCTGTTGTCCTTCAGAAGCCGGTTTTTAAAAGCCGGCTTTTTGTTGACTGTAGAAGCCGGCTTCTGTAGTACGTAAGAAGCCAGTTTGTAAAAGCCGGCTTCTTGGTGACTCCAGAAGCCGGCTTCTGTTGTCCTTCAGAAGCCGGCTTTTAAAAGCCGGCTTCTTGGTGACTCCAGAAGCCGGCTTCTGTAGTACGTAAGAAGCCAGTTTGTAAAAGCAGTTTTTGCCTTCGAGTACTTCTGAGTTCAGGGGCATCCTTAAAATGTAAAATTCTATATTCACGAATCGGGGTCGTTTATAATGTCATGTAAACAGTCATATATCTCAATTATATAAAGGGCGATGAAGCCATCTAGAACTGTTTATGGCATTGAGCATTTGTGGAAAATTAAATGAAATGTATATGGTATATTGTGTTTATTCACCTTGTACAAGTCCGCAAACATTGTTAAATTATACTTAAATATTTTGCCAACATCGAAATACTTATCACAAATGCTGCAAATGTACGTGTGATTTTTTTGCAAATGTGTGATTCCTGACAGCGAGAATGGATGAACATATACTACATGCATATATCAGACATATCCTATTGTTACTTTGTATAGTAACGGATGCTACAGGTAGAACATTTCCATTTATTACTATGCTAACTGATGAATCGATAAATTAGCGCAAACCGCAATATTCTTATTTGCACTTTTGGAATGTACCAAACGATACACATTTGATATATTGTATCAGATGTGCATACAAATATTTGAAGAATGTAATCCTATTTTCTTTACTTTATTGCTATATTTACTGTTATTGAAACTTGTATATCGGATGTACGTTTGGCCCTAAAAGGGCATCAGTACTAATAAAATCCTATTATATATATATCGCCATATCAGGTCAACATATAATTTAGTATGGGTTACTCTACAAGTGTTCACTTTAGAGGGAAAACCCATCGATTATGATGTAAGGCTCCGTGGAGGTGACAAAAATTATGGGCGTGTTCAGGTCTACTACAATGGATCGTGGGATCGGGTCTGTAACTGGTATTGGGATATTGCAGATGCAAGGGTTGTGTGTAAACAATTAGGATTTGATCCCGCCGAAACCACAGTGCCAGCAGTGGGGAATAAAGGTTTACAATTGTCCATTCATCATATCACTGTCACATCCCCACTAGAGTAGTAGTCTATAGTATCTAATGGTTTATACCATACTTTCTACAATAATAAAAATTTGTTTTGTATCCCAGCTCAAGTATGTGATGTATATTTCTAAAATCCACTCAATACATGACATTTTTCGCATTATTATTTATAATACAAAAAGTGTCAGATTAGATTAGTCAGATGATAAGTTTGTTGTATCGTATTATGTAATGTGCATCTAAATTTTTAGGTCCGTTAGATTCTAATTGGTGGCTGCCGAAGGAGAACTACGTTCAATATGGGAAAGGATCTAACAAGTTCACATTAAGCAAGGTGAACTGTAACGGTACAGAAGATCACATCTCTCATTGCAAACATTACCCAAGGAGGTGGAAAATCTATCACTGTAAAAGACAGGTTAACATTTTCTTATCTACTTAAAATGGCTAGGCAACGAGTTATTTTGACTTTTTCTACCTAGATTATGTTACTGCATAAATCAATCAGTCCATGGGTAGATATTAAACAAATACTGGATGATCAGGAGCTGGATATGGCAGAATACCTATTCGAGAAACAATATTGGGTGAGGCGGCAGCCGAGCCCAATATTTTTTCGAGGATAGGTAGTCTGGCCATATCCAGCTCCTGATCATCCAGTATTTGTTTTATTATGCACCTCCCAATCAAAGTTAAGTGGAGTACTTACTTACTTACCTCATTTACAGGCTTAAACTGTTGTTTAGTTGACATTATTTTGACATTTATTTATTTTTTCTTTCAAAACTCAGACGACTTCCGGCCAGTTTATTCGCTACACTTGACGAAAATATTTGCCCCGGGAATTTAATTTTTATTTATTCGAGACGTTCTTGCAGAATTATATGTAACTTTTGAATGATAAGGGTAATTGTGATTGATTAAGTACATTTTTTTCTTCTATTTTCCGTCAGTTTCAGATGTAAGCTTTAAGTAGTACTCCAGTTATTAAGAAATAAAACTCTGAAGTGGGAATGTTGCAAAAACATTGAAAAAAATATCCGACCCTTTTTCTCGAAAGGGTCAGATATTAAAAAAATATCCGGCAGTTTTCAGAAAAGAGCAGAGTATTGCCAAATTACAAGCAACTAAGAACCAATCAGATTTGAGTATTTTAATGAGGTGCATAATAATACAATATATTAGATAAATACATCTCCAACCACAGTTACGCCCTAGTATACCATGACTGTTACGTCATTTTGAGGTTACGATAACAAAAAAAGGGGACAGGAAAGACAGCATGTCCTCTTTCTCGCCTGTAGGCAATGTTCACAGGTAAGATTACCTTTTAAACTAGTTCCATTCGGTAAAGTATATATGGATGTGGTTATAAAGACGGGGTTAAATCTGCCGTGTGATCTCATGTACATTTACAGAAATACCAGTTAGAAATAGTACATATATTTTTCGGGAGACTCTTAAACAATGCTTTTAACATGATACATATCATGTTATATATCAAAACACACTGGTAATTGATATGAAAATATATGTTACAATAATATTCAGATTTTATTTTTCCTTTTTATGTAAGGGACGCTTAAACAATTCCACCGAGTTTTAAAGTGCTCATTTTTACCATGTAAAACGTTGCATTTAGTGATTCTAAAATATGGTAATTTGGTTATAACTTTTTTATTCCTCAACCAATTAATCTCAAATTTGGTATGGGGCACCATTTGCCGAAGTTTTTTGATGACGTAATAAACTATTGTTACGTCACCAACGCACATCCGCCATCTTGGATGCCGGAGAAATAGTAAAAATGTGTAAAACTCAAAAAGACAAACAACAACAGTACCTTAGGCCCTTATTATCTTTTTGAACATCAAACCTATGATCACAAAAGTCATTTAGACTTATTTTATCTATATTCAACTGCAATTTTACGTTAAAATTAAAATTTTATGTTATTTACATAGCAAACATTTTACGACTTGTGTGTTTTTGAAAAAAAATGATAGAAATATGGCGGGTTACAAAGCCTCCCTTCATTTTAATATACCAAATATTGCTTTTCTAGTGAGATTCTACTAATTCTTTCATAATGTCGTGAAAAACGTACTACATATATCATTATTTTAAGTCCAATTGCATTGTTATGCATGTACGAGGGATGATCAATAAGTAATGGACGCTTTTTACACGATATATACTTTTTATGCACCAATCCCTTTGATTTTTCTACCAGTAATACATCATTCAATTATCTATCAATTCTGAAGATTTGAAGACAAATTATGTAATACATGTTGATATATCCTTATTTCCGTGAAGGAGGTTCAGGTACCCCGGGACCGACATTTACGTCACATATTCAGTGTTTAGCCAGTTTGGCAAGTTTCAGTTAGATTTGAACTTTTTTTTATATGCAACAAGTGTTGTGTTGTTTGGAATTTTTGCTGACTGGAAACACATTAACAGAAAGGGTTCTGATGTCAGAGTGTTGTATGGAAGGGGTTTGCAGGTCAATTTGAGAAAGCATTGTGGAAGAAGGGGATGGTGAGAGAAAGGAACACCCAACTCCATATGGACAATGCACAGAAAGTATTCTGGTGTCAGAGTGTTGTATGTAAGGGGTTTGCAGGTCAATTTGAGAAAGCATTGTGGAAGAAGGGGTTGGTGAGAGAAGGGAACACCCTACTCCATATGGACAATGCACCTACCCACAGATCTCAAAATGTTCAGAAAACAATATCCCTGGACCTCTAAATTGAGCCCTTGGTCAATGCACCATATTGTCCAGATCTACCCACATGTGACTTATTTATTTCTATACTACTTATTTCTATAGAGAAAGGACGCAGGTTTATTGACATTGATGAAATAAAACAACCCGTGCAACTGCATCTTGCATGCAGTGCATCTTGCTACCATGTCAGAGAATGGATTCAACCTTGTCTCACAATCTTGAGTTCAGAGGATGAGGAATTGTGTACATGTAGTACTTGATGGAACCTATGTAGAGGGCCATGTAGAATGAATGTGGCATAAATACCACATAGTGATGACAAAATATTCAAAATCAACTATGGCATAACAAAATGGGGTAATTCATGACCATAATGGTTTGTTTTGTTTAGCCTGCATTCAACTGCGTTGCATGTACATCTTTCGATTAAGCTGAGTATGATATTTTCCTTTGAACGTGCGTGACATCAAATTGTCCCATCTCGACTTTTTCCCCTTGAGTTTTAGTAGACTGAATCCAGGGAAGAAAAGACGGCAAATAAACTTATAAATAAATTATATTATACTATCATAAAAATGCTCATGAGCTCAAGATTCCAATGATATATCACACAACTATCCTCATTTCTTAGATCTTTAGTTATTATTTATTATTACCACCTTGCTGGGCCAGTTCTAGGGGTTTAGTGCTAGTTTAGAAGGCATTCATTTTACTATATAGACCTGAGCAATATGTGACGTCATAGTGGTGGTCAAGAATGCATTAACGACCGGTAGAGAATGCATTTAACGACCGGTAATTTTCTTCGGGAAATTAGATATCCATATCGTTCATGCGTAATATTTTCTTGCTGTTTCAGTCCTGGTCATTAACGGTGGTAATAATACAAACTTTCTGATCCATCGTTGCCATTTTATTGAATAAATCAGTGAACGCAGAAGTCCAACCTTTTCACATGTGGCGTAACCGTCATGGTATACCAGGGTGACTAAGCAGAATGAACGAATATTGAACAAGGTTCAATGACTTTAAACCAATGCTGGCCAACTCAATTTTTAAAACTTGTGGATTACCTTTTTGACTCACCCTTTACAACTGAAATACTCTTTCAAATGACCCAACAGGAATACAAAGATGCGATTGCCACGTGCAAGACAACCATCCGGCTAAAACGTGGAAAGCCGCCGTTTGGGAGGAAAAAAACTAAATCGTCGGGGAAGTTGGAAATCAAGATACAGTACAAATGGAGATCTGTTTGTTATTCTACCATGCTAGACCAGAGAGCTGCTAAATATTTCTGTGATCTGTTGGGTATCAAATCTGAAAACCCGTTTGTATTTGGTGATCAATATTTTGGGCCAGCCAAGAAAAATAAAACATGGTGGGTATCTTGGTCTTGTGCCGATGGCTATTGTATCATTGATAACAACAAGAATACTAATGAATCTTGCGCAATCAACCAATATGCCAGCCTGAAGTGCTATAACAAAGAACCCAAAGGTAAGATGCAAATATATGTGGTTATCGAAGTAACGAAGTAACTAATTACTTTAGACATTTTCCAATCACAGCCGGATTTACCCCGTTTTACGAGTTTTTGCAAGACTGGAAAGAACGGTGAGAGAACTAGTTTGGTGTGATAGGGGGTAACATACACCAGCGGTACCTGCCTTGTTTAATGTTGCTTTATGAACTATGTGTTACACTCAAATGCACACTATGAGGAAAACATTATACGCATTAAATAACGAGCTTAGTTCGTTAAGCTAATGAGTGACTTTTTGACCAAATCGACAGTCGGCACAGATAAAAACCTACAAGAACACGACTATGGATAACGAGACGAAGTCGAGTGCCAATACAGAATATCGAGACAGAATATATCCTGTATTGCACTTCAAATCATTCAATAACGTTTTTATCGTGTGATCCTCTGTATTGCTACTGAGATTGTCCCTTCCGTACCAATATTTTCTGTATTACGACGGAGATGATCAACGGGGACAATCTCAGTAGCAATACAGATTGGTACAGCACAAGAACTGACCAATCAGAAGGCTTCATTTTACAGATCATACGATAAATACCATATACCGCAGGTCAGTATGGCATATTTACTCGTATCATTTGCTATATAATCGAGTAATCTGGACCATTTGATTTCAGATGCTGTCCCAGAACTGCGACTTTCTGGAGGCACAAATTATTCTGGCACGTTGGAGATGAAGAGGTTTGGTGTATGGGGTGGTGTGTCAGTCCGAAGTAAATACGACAGTCGGCCAGAAATAAACAGAGTTGCTAAAGTCGCTTGTCAACAATTGGGATTTGAAGCAAAAGAATATGCATTCGAAATTAATCGTGATAGAAAAAGGCATACCACTTTGATTTGGTTTCTCGACGTATTTTGCTCTGGTAATGAAAACAATATGTTGGCTTGTGATCACAAGAAATGGGGAGAAACCCTCCATCGTGGAGTGGGCACATATCCTGTCTATGTCACATGTATGACTCCACTGAAACTGAAACATAAGACTAATTCTTACACCGGGGAACTTTATATCTTTCTTGATGGTTGGAGGCGGGTGTGTCTGGAAGGCTGGACCACACCCACATTGATGGTGGCTTGTAGATATCTTGGCTTGGAATGGCGTTATGCAGATGTGATATTGACATATTCAACTGTTGACGGTCATGATGAATGGTATAAAGATGGAACTCTATGTCAGGGTCACGAAGAAACATTATCCCAGTGTGCACCAGCCAGCACCATGCACCACCCATTTCTCACAATATGCCGTTCAAGAACGGGAACGTTAAGGTTGCTGACCTGCCCAGATACGCAAAAAACAGGTAAACAGTTAATACAATTTTAAAATAGACAACATAGATCTGACGATGTTGTCAACAGTATCTATAGGTTTCACCATGGAGAAGGTATATGAATTGAGGCATGAATTTGTCAGAACGACAGAATTTGTCACCTAGTGATTGCTTCTGAGTGGTCTGTGGTATTTTAATTTCGCAAAGAATGGATCCTGTTTATATCTTTTAATTTTTGTTATTGTAGTGCTAAGTAAATTGAGCGTACGGCTGTACCGAACAGATCATGGGGAAATGGCCGTACAGGTTGAAGATAAATGGCTACCTATGTGTAACAGTAACTGGAATGATGGTGGTGCAATGGTGGCATGCAGACAACTCGGATTTAATCCAGAAAATGGGCAAAACTTTGGAAAAACTCTAAACCATCGGCCTGACAGAGTCATAGTCACAGACATGAATTGTACAGGGCAAGAGACAAACCTAAATGAATGTACTTTTATGGAGTGGAAAATTGTATCTATTGGAAGTGTTGAAAATACATGCAGATCGGTACAAGACGGTGTGAATATAGGATGTACGGATAAATCAACAAAGGCACGCTTGGTAGGAGGCCCTGACAATTATTCAGGGCGTGTAGAAATATGGCATAAAAATGAATGGAAAAAAGTATGTGGGCGTTTTATTGGTGTTGGGTTTTATACGATGGAGGCTCAAGCGATTTGTGACGATATCGAACGCCCGGGACAATATGCAAGACATTACAAGTCGAATTATTTTGGAATGGCCACGCGTGCTACAGCAGTGCGGATTAGCTGTAATCGTGGTGAAAAGTTAGACGTTTGTAGAATTTATGAGACCAACTGCACTGATAAATATAACTATGATTTGGGTGTCACTTGCTTTGATCACAATCCAGGTATTTACCCTTATTATCTTTTTATCATTCTTATTCAGATTCCCCTATAGATTTTTTATCTCAATTTCAGAAGTGTTTCACACACGTTTATCAAAAGTACTTTTCAAGCTTTAACATATATTCAGGATTACACGAATATCTGCAGCCTGGGGCACTTGGATATGATTTGGATGACATCAGTAGGAGAAACGATGGCATCGTTGTAGTGAATAGCGAATACAATCATGACAAAAAAGAGCACACTATATGTGGCGGAGATACTTGGACCAGAAGTGAAGCTCAAGTTGTATGCAGACAGTTGGGTAATTAGTATTAATTAACAAGCAGTATTTTATGTACATAAAACATCAACTTCAACCAATGTATTACATAGTGTCGCAGCTAAGCTGAATCGTGGACATTAAAAGATCATTTAGACATGTTGAGCATATAACTGGGGACATATTGTGTAGTTTATGGTGTACACTGAAAAAACACTATTCTAGGGTTGATCCAAAAGTTTCGAACCGTTTGCACTAAAAATCTTAATACTTTATTCATATTTGGCTACAACCACCTCATATATAGTAGTTTCATTTATGCAAAAATAAGCAATAAATTTTACCAGCAAGATATGTATCTGGTTACCATAGCAACATGACAACAGGGAAAATGGAGCAAGAGTACGACACATTGTAGAGCTGGAAAAAGTTGACATTTAAAGAGCATTACAGGGTATCAAACTGATTTAAAAGTTGTCAGTCATGCCTGTTAATCAAGTATTTTTCAATTAGACCAATGCCATATTTGTGATGTGATGTCATGCATGCTATAATTGGCAACTGTGATGTCATAATAAAATAATATAAGGTCACAAAACATGCTGTACCACTTCCTTGATTATGGTATGAGTACAGTAATCCAACACCAAATTCGAAAATTCAGAACTATACTTTTGCGGCGTTCGTGATCAACTATAAAACGCTTACCCCCCATAGTGTTATATATCAAAATGTACCTGTTCATATAGGGGTTCAATTGATCTACATCAAATTATAGGGAGTCAGGTTACTTTTTGAGATATCAGCGTCCATGTATTGTAACTCACGTTTGCTACCATTTCCTCAATTCTGAGATGACGGGCAAACGCGTAGTAAACATGATAACGTCGGAATTATTTTGACCTACATCGCTATTTTCGTAATTCTAATGAAAGTTGAACTACTCTTCTTTATTTTGATACCAAATAGTGGCATACTAGGTACCCTAGAAGCCAACTATGGTGTTATTTAGAACAAAGCCACAAGTTTTTAAATGGACTATATAGGGGTCATACCTTTTGGCGGATGGATATGGAACCTCATACCTTAAACGATCACTGTCAGCCACGAAACATTGAACGAGATTCAATTAGCATGTGGTGAGATACCCCATCCACAAAAAAAACATTTTACATATGCGATGAGAAAAAACGACCAGCTCTCCTTGGGAGGGATGTTACAATAGAGACATAACAAGAAAAATATTGAATGCTATGCAACAAATTTGGTCTCACATTGGTATCCATAGATTGTAGTTTCGACATGAAAAATGAAGCTGATTACATATGTATTAAAGAAATTATTTCATTTTTGGAGGGTTCTGTTTTTGGGTCACCCTGTACATAGTTGGCAGTAGTCTGCAACACAGCTTGATTTTCTTCAATCTCCAATTTATCATTCCATTAACTAAAGGATAAAATTAATTTTGTCTCGAATATTTGAGTCAAGAAAAAAAGCAATTGCATTCAACTCTGAAAGTTTTGCAAGTAGAGTTAGTCTTTCATCGATGTGTAGGTTACAGTGCAGGAGAAAGTGTTCGGTGGTTTGTGAATTTCCACATTGACAAAGTCATCCGAAATTCCGGGAAAATGTTACCTATATTTTTGCGATATTTTTCACTTTGTAAACTTATACCAATGATCCATATCTCTTATAGTCAGAAACCCATACCTCTCTATCGTTTCAAAAAAGGACGATTCTCGGTTTGGAGAACAGTCTCCTGGGCTAATATTTTTTTCATGGAAAATATAGAAATATTACCCAAATTAAACTATGAATATTCAAAAGAGGACATTTAAATCCACAAGATGTAAAAATAACAAATTGGTCTGAAGCAGGGATAATGCTCAATTTGACCGATAATTAAATACAAGTCTCGATTTGGGGAAAGAAGTTCATCAGTGTACTGCGCTAATATTTTTTTGCGAAAAATCTAGATATATTACCCAAATTAAAGTATTTAAACTATTCAAAAGAAGACATTCAAATCTATATTATGTAAAAAAAATCAAATTTGTCCGAAGCAGGGATAATGCTCATTTAGATTGATGAACTTCGTTCTCCAAACCGAGAATCGTCCTGTACCCAACGTATCGATCTCTGTTAATTAATGGCATCCATACCTTTTTGAATGGTAACACTTTGAGGTTCAATTTTCTGCCAGATGCCCTTGCAAACTCTCATTGGTTTCTCTGTATTGCTCTGTAAATAAAAGACCGATACGTTGGGTAAATTTTTTGAACGATAGAGAGGCAGAGGTTTCTGAATGTCTGTGATATATGGAAATGTGAGTTAAAAAGGGGTCAATGTTTCTGCAAATCTCTGTTGTTCATTTTCCAATCGTTTGGATTCATGAATATTGCATACTGTATTTTGAATAATTACAGGATACGACCCAGTCGATGCAACGGTTGATGAATTCCCATTTCTTCAATGTTTCGGGGGTGATACGATAATAATGAGTGATGTCAACTGTACTGGAGATGAACGTAGTCTAGCAGAGTGTAGTTTCAATCAAGGAAATAATATATCGTGTCCTGGGAAGTATTGTTTTTATATCAAAAAATTATTTTCATATTACAACAAGATAATTTATTTGAATTTCCAGAAAATTTGTTTATTTATATTTACAACTATTTGTTATAGATGGTTTAAGAGCCAGTGTTTTTTGTGGAAAACTACCGATTGTACTAGAAGAAAATGGAAGGGAATCCAAGTTTAAGGGTGAAGTTATGGTTCGTGATTTGAGAAATGGATGGCCATTGCATCCTGTCTGTGGATCCGGTTGGGATGAGAAAGATGCAAAAGTGGTGTGTCGTCAATTAGGATATCCGTATGAGAATGCATCCGTTTATTTTATGGAGTACACTCCCAACGAGTACGATCCTGACAGAGACGGTCCATTAATAACCAATGTAAATTGTAAAGGTGATGAAACGCATCTTGGAAAATGTGATTTCGATCTGGACTTTTCTCTCGTAGCCGCCCAGGGCCAGTATGATGGTTATTCCTATTGTACTAAATATGAGCTTCTCGTTGACTATATTGATTTTGACATGGATTTCAATTTATGTAACAACGGTAGTATTGCTGGTGTCATTTGCAAATAGTTGCAAACGTTGATGCCATAATGAAATGGCATTATTTTGACTGAATTCAACACGAAGGAATAAAAAATTACCACGAAAAAATAGTCCAGCATCTCATAAATATCATCGAATGAAAAATCCAATATTCTTCTATGTGCTTCGATGAAAAATTTATACTTAAAGAGGGCAGTTCACACAAGTATTTGAAGAAGCCTTGATGGAGCAACATTGGATTGTTGATCATACTCTGTACTAATAAAACACCCTTAACATTTTAAGAATGACGAGCATTATACAAATAGTGATTACCATCGAGGACAGTAGTGTAATCTATTTCCCCGAGGGAATATCCTCTAAAATGTACTTTTCTTGAAGTTGCATGCTGAGGGTATGGTACATTCTAGATTATATCCCCAAGGATAAATTATTTACACTATTGCTAAAATTAGGCAGTCACTTTTCGTTTTAGCAACAAACAATAAGCAACAATACCAAATTTTTTTAGAAAAAATGTATGATTTCTGCATACTATAAAATGATAAAATTAAAAGTTAAATTATAAAATTTTATAGGTTGTAATTTAATTGACTTGCCTACCCTTAATACAGGTTACCATGGCAACCTTATTTCTAAATAAATATTAGATATAGGTATAATAGTTTAGCATTGTATGTATGTGCAATTACGTAATCTATATGTTCTGAAAAAATGGAGGGATACGAGAAAAATAACAAAAGAGAGATTTTGCAAATCAGCAGTATCATGGATAACATCATCGATATTGATCAACGTTTGTTTCTTTATACTTTTCCCTTTATAAAAATTTAGGTGCTTTATGAATCCGTTGATGACAAGACTCTTCAAATCGTCAAACCTCATTTCAACATGACAGCAAGGCCCCCAAGTCCATTGTTAGTATTAAAAGCCGTGATGCCACAACATGCTCAACAGATTTTTTCGTCAGAGATTTCTAGAGGCTGGCGGTTATTCCGGTAATACCGGTTCGGTACAGAATTGAGCATTTACTCGCATTCAAAGCAGTATGCGGTTAACCGACCTCAATCCCCGGGAAAATATTTCTCCACTCGCGCACGAGATTCGTGCTCGCTAACCACACACCTAATCGAAAATTTATTCGTATTATAACTAATATTCTAACGAAGTGTTTTTATTTGGAATTCGAAAACATACTTTCCCAGTTTTTCATGCATGTTAACGAATATCCACTAGTTTGAAGATAACAACATCTTCAGGCTCCATATAACTTGGACTGCCAAATACCCGGATGCACTATGTACAAAACAGTAGGTCATCTCGTTTGAAGTACGAACAAAACAGTAAAATAGCAAGACATCGTTATAAATAAAACTGATATTCAAATATCCCGTATCAGCCAAAATCCCGTATCAGATCCTGCATCAGAACTATTAGAAAATTTGTGAATCAATATATTCTGATAAAGATGCTCTCATTTCGTGATTTTTCAACTATCCTTCTCATTTTTCCAGAAAATATAGATTATGTAATTACACATACAATGTTTAATATCATAGCTATAGGTAAAATTAGTTCAGAGATAAGGTTGCCATAAAACTTTTATTACGGGTAGGCAGGTAAGCTAAATTATAAACTATAAAATATCATAATAATTTGTCATTTTAATTATTTTAAAGCATGCGGAAATCCGACATTTTTAAAGAAAGTTTGGTATTGTTGCTTGTTGTTTGTTGCTATACAACTGTTTATTTGTACACACTAAACATCATAACAGCTCACAATAGCAATGCATTACAGAACCTCAAGGAAATTTTCAGATAAGCCTTAGTTAAGCCAGGGTGCATGTTCGAAATTGAGCTGCATTCCTCAATTAAGTCACATTTTATTTTTCAAAGAGGAATCACTCCTTCCCAACATTGTCTACATCTTCCAATTTTGCACAAAGAGTACACTTATGTGCCTAGAAAAGACTGGTGAGAAGATTTGTTTTGTAAAATGTATAAAAACGAGAATATTCGGTGAAAAAACTTTTTGAAAATTTTCTGATTTTTTTCATTGAATTTTCTTGTTTTTTATACATTTTATCAAAACATTCTTCTCTACATTTTTTCTAAGTATATTATTGCACTCATTGTGCAAAAGTGAGAGATGTAGACATTGCGGGGAAGGAGTGATTCAAATTTGAAAAATAACATGTGACCCTCTTGAGGGTTGCAGCAAAGTTCCGAACATGCAGCCTGACCTTCAGTTGTTTCCTCCGGTTGATTCACCATCCTTTTTGATACGTTTAAATGTTAAGACACATATTCCCAATAACCGTTTACTTGTTAAGGAAAGGGTCTAACAGGGGTGTATAAAAATCTTGAAATATAAATTTATTTATTTTTTTTTATATGATAAACTATTTATTTCATGATATTCAAATTTACATCGAATTGCTTGCCAATCGCCTAGTGGCATTATAGGCCAAGCTTAAATACATAATTTATATATTATACAATTAGGAACAGCATTTTGTCCATTGTGGCATAGAAGAACTGGGGGTGTCTGGCTAAGAATGAGAGTTAGGTGTCAAGTTCTTGGTTCCATGAGGGCAAAAAGGGAGATGAGGATGATACAGAAAAACTATATTGAGATTTTATTAAAAAACATTGTTCTGCTTGCAAGATTTTGAGGGCATCTAAAAAAGACATGTTTTGGGGTTTCAGGTAATCCACATGCACAGTTGGGAGTGTTTAAAGTGGTAAAGTTGTGTGCATATAGTTGGGCTTTAAAAATCAGATCTACTCTGAATCTGTTTAGTACGATTTCTAAGTTCCTGGTAAGCTTTAGTTTGGTTGTAGGGTCAAATTTAGGTTTTGATTCTTGGATAAGTTTTTTTTGGCGACTTTTAAAGATAGGAAGACTTAGACTTTCTTTTAGATATTGTGGAGCTCTGTTCCACAGTGAGGCAGCATTAAAAGCTGGCGACTTTTTCAGTTTATCTGAGCATTTTGCGGGCAATCTATAGTCTATCTTATGTCTTAATGTTCTTGCATTTTGAATTTTTAAAGGCTCAAAAATATCGGTAATGTATTTTGGACATAAATTGTGATTTACACGATACATAAATCTCAAAATGTGCATATCCCTTCTGGTCTCAAGAGGTGTCCATGCAAGTGTATCAATGACTTTTTCTGTGCTGCTTCCATGAATACAGCCGCTACAGATAAGTGCTGCTTGGTAAAAGCATTGGTTCAAAATATTGAGAAGGTATTTATTCGAAGAGTTAAAAATAATGGCACCATATTCAAAATGTGGTCTTATGAATGATACAAAAATAGTTTCCAAAGATTTAGATGTAAGATTTCGTTGTAGAGACTTAAGCGGATTGATCATTTTATTTACTTTATCTCGAATTGACAAGATGTGTGCTTCATTTGTCAAGTGCTCGTCAAATATAAATCCTAAGTGTTTCTGTGAATTCACACGATCAATGGGTATATTGTTCATGACTGTTTCACTTACCTGTGTTAATTGAATTTTTGACTTATGGAATATTATTTCTTTCGTTTTCTCGGGTTTAAAACTAAGTTTCCATTTTTCAGACCAAAGTATAATTTTTCTTATAGATTCATTTACTTTATCGTCAATTTCTTTTGGATTTTGAGTACTAAATGGAAAATATACTGAGGTATCATCAGCATAGATGAAACAGTCTGTGTCAAGGTCATCCGGTAGATCATTAATAAATAAAATGAAAAGCAAGGGGCCTAATATTGACCCCTGTGGGACACCGCTTTTTATAGCATTTGGTTCAGATAAATGTGAGGAAGTGCCTGCTATTGTGACCCTAACTCTGCGATCATTTAGATATGACTTCAACATTTTGAGAACTTGGCCACCTATACCATATGATTTTGTTTTTAAGAGTAAAAGTCTATGTGGCACACAGTCAAAGGCTGACGCGATGTCTAAAAATAGGGCTTTTATTCCCTTTCCTTTATCCAAATTAGTTTGTATAAGATGTTCAATGGCGACTAGCTGCGCCTGAGTACTGTGCCCTGGCAGAAACCCCGATTGAAATTTAAACAAAAGGTCATTTGAAATCAAGTGGTTTTTAATTCTGTCAGCGACAATAGTTTCAAAAATTTTTGACAGACAGCTCAAAAGTGTAATATTTGGGTCGATATTTCGATATTTCTGATTTATTATTTTTTTTGTGAATGGGGCAAATATTTCCAATTTTCCAGGAGTTCGGGAAAGTGCAATTTTTGAGTAACTTGTTAAAAAGGTCAGCTAAAGGATGAGATATTGTATGTGCAGTCATTAAGAGCATTTTATTAGTTATTTTATCCGGGCCACAGGCTTTGGAGCTGTCAAGTTTTAGAATTATTTTCATGACCTCTTCAAAATTAGTTTGTATTGAAATCAAGAATGAATTTGTTCTCATGGGGAAAATTGGTTCGTAATTAAGTGGAGTGTCATTTTTATATTTCTCAACAAAAAAGTTTAAAAATGATGTGGCCTTGTCAAAATTTGATGTCATTGGATCACCATTGCTATTAAATAGTGCTGGTATGTTTGAATGTGCTTTGCCTTTTCCAATTAGACAGGTAATTAGTTTCCAAAAGTTTTTGTCATTTTTATTGAGTTTTTCAACAGATTCAAAAATTTTATTTTCATGCCGCAGTTTTGCTTCCTTAATAAGATCTGTCACCAATTCTGCTTGGGTTTTGTAAAGTTGGTCATTAATTGGATTTGAGTTCTTTTGATAGCGTTTATAAAGTGATCGTTTTTTGATAGACTCGACTCTTAATTTCTCATTGAACCATGGTTGATCATTTGATTTTGTAATCTTAAAGTTATTTGGAATTTGGTCTTTATAAACTGACCATAATGTTTCCGTAAAGGTAGATGTTAATGTATCAATATCTTGTGAGTTCAAAATAGATTGCCAGTCGGTATTTCTAATAACATTGTTAAGATCTTCAGGGTTTGCACGGTCATATTGCCAGACTATACGCCTAATAGGAGGATGCCTAGGTTTAGAGAGATTTAAAGAAGCAAGAAGTGTTCCATGATCAGATCTACCAATTGGATCAATAACTGACCAGGATTTGACTTGTTCACAAGAATTTGTAAAAATATGATCTATGCATGTGCTAGAAGTACTTGTTATTCTTGTTGGTTGGTCAACAATTTGGTCAAAACAATTGGTATTTAGAGTTTCCAGGAATAATTCTCCTGCTAAGTTCTTGTCATTTTTATACCAGTTGGGATGTTTTGCATTTAAGTCTCCCATGAGCAAAATGTGGTCAAACTTTTTTGTGTTATTTTGAATTATGTCAAGCTGACGGTTAAGCCTATTAAAGTATGCACGAGTTTCCTCTGCATTCTGACTGGGGGATCTGTAGCAGACCCCAAATAAAATACTTTTATGATCACATGTTAATTCTGTGAAAAGAATATCAAGATCTTTTATGTACAGGTCTGGACTAAGAGGCTTGGATGGAACGTCATCATGAACATAGATTGCAAGTCCTCGACCAAGATTAGAGAAGACTGGATGTTTAAAGTTACCCAGACGAAGGTCAAAATCTGTTGGTTTATTAATAAAATTTCCAGCTTCACATAAAGCTATTACCCCAGGTTTTAGGTCAAAGGCTCGTTGTTTTAAGTCTTCAAAGCGTGCACCAGAATCTGCAAAAATACTGTTGATATTTGAGAACATAAAGCTTAAGTCATTAATTTCGTTATTGTGTAGTTGCCCTGGATTAGGGTGAACGTCACCTGCTAGCATTAACAACAGTTTGGATAATGTTGGGTTAAATGCATATGTTCCTGACCCTGGAACAAGGAAAACCGATGATATGCATATGAGAGATTGCAGTAATGCATATATATTGAGTCTTTTTGTATTGCCATACAGAAAGATAAGCACGGCACCTGGGACAAGGCAGGTGGTAAACGGTAAATGGCTTATAAACAATACTATCAGGAATAAGTTATTGAAGTAAGGCTTCAAAAGGGTAAGCCAAATTATAAACATGAACATGATTGAAAAATTTGAATGTATCATAGATCTACATGTATCAGCGATTGTGTGTAAAGATAGAGCTGAAATATCATTTTTGCAGGTAGAGCCCCTGTTTCCACAGCAAAACATCCCTATTCGAGCCCTCCATAGTAGTAAGGTTATTCCTGCGTTACCCAATTCCAACCCTCACTGAAGCAAAAACTTGACACATAAAGGTATGGGACATTCTTACAATATAGCCAGTTGAAGTAGGAGAAATAGGGAGAAAGTTCATATTAAAGCCACAATAAGCAAATATGGAGCTCCTTGCATTGCTTTGATCATAAAGCAAAAATTAAGTGTGCAGTGAAATGGGATTGTATACCATAGGCAGAATGTCACTTTCACTAATATAACAGATGTTGACAAATAAGAATGTTTAATGCTCAATAAAAAGTATTATGATTGTGATTAAAACCTTCATATCTGGCAGTAGCAGTAGCCAAACAATGTTGCATTTAAATGAACCTAAGACAGGGTATTAGAAAAGGTATATTAGGTACGTTATTCTTCTAATTTCCTTTTAGCACCATAATTCTTGCTTTCTATTAACATTAGTCACAGTATTTCATGTCTATATTCATATATTGGATTAAAAACTGTTTGAATATAACTCAATGCAGAAAAACTTCTGTTTCCTTAGATAAGGCTTGATTTCCTTTAGGCATCAGGAACAAAACAAAGCTTATTATGTATAATATAAGCGGGAATAATAAGCAAGGTGGTGAAAATATGTGTACCATCTCATAAGTAGAGTAAGCATTCTGACAATCAAAAGGAAAAGAATCACTTCAGTTTCTTGTTGAATAGTAACAAAAAGAAATCTGTGCTAAGATTTATGTAAGGTGATAAAGCATAAAACATGGCGAAAGTATTATAACCATTCACAGGTCTGTGCCATTGTGCCCCCCCCCCAATACTGGAAGTCCAACTTTCTACATCAGTAAACACAAATCATTAATGCTTACAGTACTGAGAGGTAAAATAACATAATATAAACAAAACAGAACACTCTTTAGTTCCTGTAAAGAGTCAAGGGTAGATTTACCTTTAAATGAATATGAATGTTATTTAACAGTTAACTTACTCAGTAATCAACAGTAGGTAACAGTTATAGCTGTAACTTTATTATGCAGTAGACAAAAATTAGTAATGTAAAGCCAACTCAGTGTGAGTGAGACTTAATTTTGTCAATAGAATCAAGTGAAGTTACCTAATGTAAATCAAAAAGCAAGTGAAAAGTGTACATGTACTTAGGTACATGTAATGGTCAACAATCAGGTCAAGTACAGTTCATAGGGGACCTGTCAATGTTCATCCATTCAAAATAGATTGGGCTTGATCCTCATTAAGGAGGAGTTTACTGGATTTAAGTGCCTCAGTAGCTAGTTCCTTAACAGTTACTGAGGCACTTAAATCCAGTAAACTCCTCCTAAATGAGGATCAAGCCCAATCTGTTTTGAATTTTGTCAATATAAAATATTGATATTTTTGACGTTAATGACTGGTGATCTATAAATGAATATCGTCATATATCTATCTATACTTGATGATATGTCCATGTTAGGTCAATGTCACCAAAAACAAAATGTCTGAACTTTAAATCTACACCTTCTTTCGAGAGCCAAATAATTTATCATATTTTCACATTTTTGAAATACTTTTTTATAATTGATTATTTTGTAAATTAGACCCCTGTTGAAATCTCATATTTATAAAAACACTCAATGATGATATTATATCAAATATAAACTAATTTAAATCGTTAGACTGTAAAAATTGAACAGTGTTTCATGTGGTATACCACCCAATGTGAGTCTGGAGTCCATTTTGATATTATTTTTCTGTTGAAATCATATAAAATGTGCTTGCTATCAAAGAGTTTATGAGTTAACATACAAAAAACTCTTGAAAAATGACGATTGTGTATTCATTCCCAAATAAATAATGAACGGTAATGTTGTGTGATGCTGAACAAGCAATACTATGTTCAGTGATATTATATCACCAATACGATCTGTTTAAAACAGTGGTGCTTCAACTGGAGGAAGTTATTACAATTTTGACAATTCCTTTAATACTAATGGGCAAAATACCATATCTGCTTCAAGCATCTAAAGGCAGTATTGTAAATTTGAGGAAGGCAGTGTCTTCAGGCAGAGTGTTGAAGATCATCCACAATCTAGTTGCAAGAAGAACTCACGGACAGAGAAGAACACTTAAATAATATGAGATGCAATTTATGAAGATAGAGAAATATCCAGCCAAGATATCGAGATGAAAAATGTAGACGTTTTTTGGCTCATCCTGTAAATATATCCCAAAACAATGATCTAGATCTGACGTGGAAATAAATAATTTCTAAAGCCCCTAGCTTCCCCTTCAATCAAGAGACAACATCGCCATTATCAATAAACACAATAATAGACTAGATTCGAGAAAAAATAATCTTGATTTACGTCATTAAATATTCAAAATTCAGTCAAAGTGATCTCATATTTGAAATCTTTATGTAAAAGTACAACTAGAAATATGGTTTTTAAAATTGTCTATCAACTTTAATTTTTGAAAATGTGACTTCTTGTTCGGGTTGATTCCTAGACCCCATGTTACAAAATCACAAAAAGTGAATTATCTTTTCTTGTATTGGACAGATAACATTTTCCTTTACTGGACATATTTTAATTTGCTTAACTATCAGATACATATACGGGTTATATGAAAATTGAACCACGCAAATAGATGAAATTTAAGTTAAAGGGAACTTTCTACTATACCCGCCATGCTATCTGACCCGAACGAGCCACCTGGTGGTGAATCTGGTAACTACCTACTCGCATCTGCGTTATTCACAATGGTCATCAGAAGTAAACTATGGCTGGTTTTGATCCTTATTTCTTTACCCTATTCGATCCCTATTTTTCTAATGCCATAGCCGGGATCCGACTTAAATGGTGCAAAATAAAAACATTGTGATTTCAAATCCAATTTCTAAACAGTATCAACATCATTTAGCATCCCCAGTGGTAAAAACATATTTCTCAGCAAAGCTGAGTTTTATATTGTTATAACTAACAATATAAAATGTTGTGTAGTTCAATGTTAATAAGAAGATCAAGATAAGGTGTGGTCACAATAGATTCATAAGTCCTTTTCAATTGTAGCCGTCTTATTAAATAACTTTGTAATATGAAATTTAGCTTTATCGTGCATCATCCTTGTAAGAATTTATACTTATATGAGAATGAAAAAACTCTGCTAAAAGGGCAAATAAAGCATGCTCCCTTAAGCTGGACAAATCTTCTGCTGTCAACACGTGATATGGTTTCCAAGTTTTTAAATCGTAAACAAGAGTTTAAATTAATTTTAAATGGATTAAACAGAATTGGAGATTGACTTTTGCATGTGATTATCTCTTTATTTTCTTAAAGTGATCATAATGTTGAATTGGTGCTTGTCAATCAGGGCATCGTTGGTGTGGTCTTCATTTTAAGTTTCTTGCATTTCACCTTCCTACACTTCTTATTGTAACACACTGCCTTGCATCCACCGCAGTTGTTAGATCTGTTGAAATGATGTCGAATAGATTAGTTATGCATATATTTATGATGGACTTTCTTCAAAAATACATTGATATTTTAAATAATATGAAGGGATTCTAACAGGCAACATATTTTAAGAGTTAATTGGAATTACTTACACGCACTGGCCCTTCTTAGGCTTCTTTACAATGCTACAGGGGTCCACTTTGCAATCTTCAGGATCATCACACTCTACATGAGATTTTAAAGCATAAGCAAGTTCAATCCTAATATTTTCTTTAATGTTTTATTCTGCTAAGAATGATGTTTTTTTATTTAAAATGTTTTTCACATAAAGTCTTTAACACCTAGTTCACACTAACGGCGAATGCCACGCTTTAAATCGGCGAGCAAGAGCCGTCATTTTTGTGAACTTTTCCAAAAATATCACGATCACCTATTGTAATATTACGCTCTGATTTCCCGACTTGTATCGGTTCCTCGCGCTTTGATCCCCCTTTGATCAGGCTTTGTTACGCTTGAAATCACGCTTTGATAAGCTTTATTGAATTACGCTTCGATGCGATTATGACGCTTTAAATCAGGCTCTGGTACGATTATTAAGCTCTGTTGTGCATTGTTACGCTCTGTTTAGCTCTGTTATGCATTGGAAAATGTCGAGATCGCCGATTTCATGCCGCTTTTGATCGAATGACTATATAAAGATGCAGTAGATCCATAAAATCACTACACCTTTGACTCCAGAACACGATGGCAGAACAACAAGCTTAGATCCAGAAGATCCATATGGACTATAGAGCATGATCTCTCTGAAGAAGACATGATATGTTTGTCGCCCTGCGTGAAAGAGCGTGGGAGAGCGAAAGGAAGCTTGTCAAGTGTAACAAAGCATAACAAAGAGTGTCAATCTTTGATCAATTCGTTGGAAAGCTTGAGAGTCTTTCGTAAAAGGGTAACAAAGAGTGTCAAATATTGACGAAAGCGTCTGACCTCGTGTCAGATCTTCAAGCCAGATCGTAGCAAATTTTGAGACATCTTAACGAAGCGTGTCAAGTGGTAACAGACCGTGAGAGACTGGGGTCCCCGCTTTGAACCAAGCTCTGTTATAAGCTTTCCTACGCTTTGAGTCAAGCTTTGCTGAGCTTTCTTACTGTTTGTTAAGCTTTGATACGCTCTCGGCGATAATCAATTCGTAACAGAGCGCCCAAATTTTTTTAAACAGTTTAAAATTGTTTGGCGCTCTTGCCGAATGTCCCGCTTTACTCCGAGCTTTTCAACGACCTATTAAGACCCTGACGCTTTAATCAAGCTTTGTCACGCTTTGTTTGGTGCCGCTTTGCAATCCGCTTCAAAGCGCCATCAAATATACCATATGATATCTTTCACCATTATTGACCAGTATGCATGTACGAGTATATGTAAGCTATACCACAGATCGGGGTACAATCGGGGAGAATACTTTTGACAGTCAACCTCACGAAGAGGTTTTTATTTTCTTGTTTAAAGGAATCTATTAAGTAAGCTCAATTTACTATTTTAGATTTACTCGATTTAGCTATTGTGAACGCAACATTGCATTACATTGCACATGAACGCTATTGGCTGCATTTCTACAATAGGAATCGACTGGAGTTAAACGATCCATAGAAAACAATCATCTGTTAGATAATGTATGTTACTTACCGACTCTGCCACAGTCAACATATCTCTTCTTCCCTAATTTGAACAGCGGATCCCAGCAGTTAGGACAATAATCGGAGCTACATGATAAAGAGCAAAAATGCAATGATTGGGGAATAATTAATATATAGTAATTAAATAGTCGGTTAAAAATGTTAAAACATATTAATATTTTTTCCAAGATTTTCCAAAGCTGAAAATCCACAAATATCGGTCCTACTTTTATAGTGGATCCAAGCAGTAAATATAAGGAACTTAATTTTCATTTTATTTACTGTAGTTTTTATTACCAAGTAATATTAGCAACACAAACACCTCATGGACCGTGTCTTAAAGGAAGCTTTTTTTCTGCGGTTTACAAATGCCATTTTATAGTAATGAAGGATCGCATCAAATCGTTCGATATAATCGATAAGGAATCAGGTTTACTAATGATTGTAGGTTTACAAAGAGAATAGATGACTTACACACATTTAGCACGGGGGCAAGCAGGGCAGTCAGGCCGAACCCTTTTGTCACATGGATCAATCACACATGTTCTAATCTCATCTGGGCATTTCTCGGGTGGTTGATAACCTAGTACGTATTTGAAAATATTACTAATTATATTGAGCTCAAACAAACGACATGCGTTGAAATGATATCTCTAACAAGTTGAAATTTCAGAAACAGAATTACAATCGAAATTCATTACTGGAGTGTTAAGCAACGATCATTCGATTTCATTGAAACTGTGTCCATGGGAATTGATTTAAATGAAGTAAACGACGATACATCCGTAAGATTTAGTTTAGGGAATAAGACCTGTATCGTCATGGATGCATAAACAAACTATCGTCGAATCAATCTACTAACTTTTCATCATGGGCTTCTGTGTTGTGATAGGAGTTGTTGTCATAACATCTGTTTGATCTAAAACAATAGATACAAGCTTGTGCTGTAGGGATTGAAGGCAGAATCAGATTTACCAAAGTTTTCAGATTTAGGTTTCAATTTCCATCGCTTTGAATTTGTTCTTATGCTTTCCCCGAGGTTGTGTAGAAAAGTGTGGACTTACCCGTCATAGTTTCCTCCGTTGTCACAACTTCTACAGCCCAAGGTTGATTGTATGAAAATTAATTAAAACCCATTTCTCATTGACTATTTAACGGTGAAATTATTCTTAAGATATTCTACGATAATGTTAATCAGTCAAGTGTTCTGTCCAAGTTATAGGGACCTTGGCTCACTCAGAGATTAAAAGATGAGTGCTTTGGTCTAGTCTAGCTTCAATCCCTTGTGACTCCCCCCCTCCCCTACCACAAAAGTGATAAGGTGTGTAGTCAAGTAGAGGGGGTAGGGTCACAGAGGCGTATAGCTAGACAAACGTTTGTCATGAAAATACTTTATATTTGAGGCATTAGAAGATCAGAAAAAGCAAACAGGCCTTACTATGGCGGGCTTGGTGTTTTTAAGAATGGGAATTATACCTGGAACAACATGTATCTTGATTCGCATACCACCTATTTCACAATGCGAGTAAATGCCACATGCAAAATAATATGTCTTGAGGCTGCTCATTGTATACACTTTGGGGCTTTCCTCGAAATTGCCATTTGTCGTATCACACCCATCATACGCAGTCTCGTCTGGTAGTTTGTCAACGTTATGGCCAGACGAAAACTCGAATGTAATCGTTGAGCCTTAATAATATAAAACAAATCAATAATAACAGATGAATTAATAAATGTGTATGTACACAAATGACTCGTATCTATTTGAGTTGCGGTTCATCATTGTTCAACACAATGTTCAATGATAGAGCAATTCGACATTAAATAAGATATATGTTTTGCAAAATATATATTGCAGACTTATTTTATTGAAAGCTCATATGCAACATCACGAACATATTCGTATGTAGCGTTCCGATTAAACTGACAATACAAACTAATGACAACACAATCTCAATGTTAGTGGTATTTAGGTGATATAGAATAGGTGGTTGTATCACCTTGACTAACACACAGTGCCTCATATTCTTTCTTTCCATCACTCCTGTAGCTCCAAGTCACCGTTGAATCACCTCTTACAGACGAACACACTGAAATAAAAATACAATGTCGATTTAGCGACTGCAACCTTAGGCATATTCTTCGTTGCTATCGATCCCTTACTTTCCGCTAATGTTTCAACTCATTATATTGCCTATGGACGTACAGAAGAATAAAATGTTTTAGCTATTATGCACCGATGCTAAGGTATTATCATTCGGTTTGTCAACATTGATTGAGTTTATTAATGTATTTTCCTACAAGCTTAATATTTTAAACAATAAGTGTTTATATTTTTGCCAAATGGTATTTTCCTTACTCACTTCGAGAGCCATGTTAGATTTTGAAACTTATGGCTCTCAAACGGAGCATTTGGACAGCTGAAAGATTGTGACCTTTGAAATCGAATTAAGTCGATCCGCGGCTTACTTTTGGTCTCTAACTGTGTCTTACATTAGTATCATCAATCCGTGTAAGTATTGGAGCGCTGAAGTACTTCCTTTTCTATCAAGCTAAGACTTGTAATTGTTAGTCGAGTTAATGTTTTTACTGCCAAATTCCAATATGGCGTTGTCTGCTCGGACATTTTCGTAAATCTCCGGAGGTTGTCCGAACCTAACTAATTCTCAAAATTCATTTCGTTCGTTGCGTATCTCGCTCCTAGCAAACCGCCATATTGGAAATAGGTCTAAAAAACATCCACTCGATGAACAATTTACAAGTATTGATCGAAAAAAAGAAGTATTTCAGCGCTCTAATACTTACACGGATTGATGATACTGATGTAAGACACAGTTAGAGACCAAAAGTAAGCCGCGGATCGACTTAATTCGATTTCAAAGGTCACAATCTTTCAGCTGTCCAAATGCTCCGTGGGAAAGCTATTATATCAAAATCCAAATAGCTTTCGCAGGAAGTAATATTTTCCATAATACCAAACTGTGTAAACATATAATGTGTAAATGTATTATTATTAATTTTCAAACATTTTTCTGATTTTTTAATCCTTTAATCCCTTGGGGGGTGGTGGGGGCTGGGTAGATTAAAACACTGACACATGCAAGACAGACCTTCATTTTTACGACATGCCAACTTTCTCACTTCATACTATTCATTTTAACCAAAGATATTTGACACAGACATAACCATTTTAGTGATAAACATTACATTCCAGAGAAAGAAAAGTATGCATCTTGCAATGTTCATGATTGTTCACGATGTGTGATTTTTCAAGAATTCAGAAAATCCGAAGCATTGATTCGTGTTTGCTTTAGGTTGATTTTGTGTCTTTTCATCTATGCTGACAATATCAAACAAGACTGTTGTGACTGCCATCTGCTAATTTTCCCGAATATAGAATTAAAGGGGCAACAAGGCCTGTAGAGAGAAATTCGAAAATTTATACTTCTGTGCTATCAGGGCAACATGTGGCTAACATTTTCTTTGGCATAACCATTTTCTTAAAATATATTGATAAACTCAATGATAAATTCAATACATTGATGTCTGATGATAGGATTTTTATATATGTGGCAAAAGCCTGTGGCCAAATGCTGAAGATTAGGGAACATCACCTGTTTAGGTAATGTCCCCAGTGTCCTATAGGCCGTTATCGGTCTGGGGTTAATTGTATAATTGTATATTTTGGTGATATTTTATATATGATGTAATTATTTTATACATGTATTTATTATATAACCCATGACACTTTAATAAAATTTTACAATACAATACAATACAATAAACTACATGTATCAATTTCAGCATTAAGAAAAAGCGTCTATAAAGGAAGTCCCACTTATAGCTTTTTAAGTTCCACCACGTTTCAGCTGAATGATGTTCAGGGGTTTCTTTCGAGATAATAAAAATATATGTTAGTCTTCATATCCAAACTTAGATATATTTTGACACTGGTCCATGATCGTTGAATGGACCATCTACCCTAATTGTTGCACCTTTAACTACATTTACAATATTTTTCAAATCATTTGACAGAGGTTTAAGCTACACATATGGTACATTATAAGAGATGAAGCATAACGTAGAACCTACACATGTCACAATATGTCCTTGTCATATCTCTGTATCGGATAAAATACATGATAAATTGAATTTAAAAATGATTTTGATTGACGTTAGTCCATCTTTTTGGATTTTCCAATTTTAACTTACCTTGTTTCAGTTTTTTAAATCTGGTAATCTGTTTTTACTCACAGTTGGTTTCATTGTGCTTTCTATAATGTAGGTGACTTTCGGTTAGATGAATACCACAGAATATAAGCTGCAACGTCACATATACATAGAGAACTCTCATCTTATAATGACTATTCAGAACAAGTCGTCTATCTAAGCTCAGCTCTCCGCGACTGAATGATTTTATATTCTTAACTGTTGAAAACACAACACTACCTATCATACTTTTGGAGACACTGTTTCGAACGTTTAACGCTCGAAAGAAATTATGGTTCCCCGGGGATTATGGTCCCCTTTCTTAACGGCCCTTTCTGGCCCTAATTGTGTCTAAGATAATAAGGAAAAGGGGTCACCATATAAATCAATGAAGAGTAGGACCATAATTTGATACAGACCTCCTACCCCTTAACACCGGTTCATTTCTATGATTTTGAAATGTGGTTTTGATTCTTGTTTTTGGAAGGATTAACTGAAGCTTACTTGTCAAACTTCACTAGCAAAATCATTATTCAATTTGCAATGATGCACCAATTTCTATTTTTGTCTGTTTAAATTAGAATCATGATTCCTTCTACCTAACATAAACCGACTCTGTGAATACATTATTAAAACCTTTAGAGTAATTAATAAAGATTTAAAATATTTGTTTTCAGTGCAGGTCTTGGGGAAATGATGCAAATATAAAAAGGCCGAAACAGGTTTCCATATTGAACGAGAGTGTATGCTTATTGTGTAAGTAGTTATGAAATTAAAGTGATAAATTTTTAAGTAAAAACAACATTGTCTGTTCTATTCAAATATTGAACATCTTTAACTCTTTATTCATAGTTTAGCGTCAGATTTGTATACACAGATAGCGTTTTTATTTGATAATAGCGCTGTAAAGATGAAAAAGAAATAAATTTTATATTGTGAATGTAACTCCACATGTATCCTGTTTTTATGATTATAGCGTTTTGTGTTGAAAATCAAATAAAATGCATGCACTTCAATTTTTTTTTTTCATGTTATCAATTTATTTCTAATATACACAATTACAATCGATTTGAATTAGCTAATTGCCGAGGTTTTGCATAATTAGCTGCAATTTAATATACATATATATTTTATATAAAATTATCATAAAACAGAAAATAACAGAAGAATTAATTCAGTCACTATCGGTTTCACTTTTATTCTTCAGGTAACTAATTAATAATAATAAATTAGTATTTATATACCAGGTCGTTGAACAAGTTCATGGAAAATGCTCTCCTTTCAAAGATTTTTGATATTCTCTCATGAAATTTTCACACAATTTATAAAAAATACTTCCCGATTGAATCCTTCAATATCAGGATCTCTTATTTGATTTGCCAAATATAAGGGTTACTGTGGTAACTTGACTTTTTTGTAGGCGGGGCACTTTTTACGTCACACAATTTATATTTAAAGAAATCTATCAATATGTGAAAATGGAGGATACATATTGTGGGAATTTTTAGGAAACTCCCACTGTGTTTTATTAGCATTATTGGCGTTTATTTGTGAGATTTTTATGATGATTTGGACTTGTTGAATTGATGTAATTATGGAGTAAAAGTGCGAACATTTGGTGCCACTGACGTTCGCTAATTGATTAGTGTACCGGAAGTTGTAATGGGATAGCCATGGAGAGTCCATAGAAATGACGTCACGCGATGTATTGATGTATTGAGCAATTGATAGACCCCTCTCGGTGAATTGGTACATGCGTTCAAGATGGCTGACGGCATGCAGAAGATGTAATCGCTCCTGGAAAAGTGGATATTGTGGCATCTAGAGACTGAGTTAAGTCAATTAAAGTGTTCAAGCAGATGTGTTATGTTGTTGAGCAATACTAGAAGAAGTCTTGCGAGACCTATTGGAGGTTAAAGGCAGGAATTTGCTGATGAAAAGTTCGTGACAACTTTGATGTAAGTGTTGACCTACATTTGTAGAATCATCCGTTAGATACATTCCAGGCAGTTGAGATATATAGTGACGATTATTTGGGAAAAGTAGAACATTGTTTCGTTCTTTCTGGCGTGTGCTTATGTTGCTGAGTGATTCAGAAGCGAGATTAACCCCCCCCCCACTTGTAAGCTGTTGCATTGTGCCGTGGTCACGTGATCAGTCACGTGATTGGGTCCCAGTTGTTACGTCAGCCAGTGATAGGTCGTTGTGGTCAAAGGAGCAATCCTGGGTTAAGAATTATTCATAACCCAAGGAAGCCTCCCGGGTATCAAGCGATCTTGATCAAACCCTCAGAAGACACTCAGGAGAGGAGCTGTGAGAGCCCAGAGTAGAGGAGATCTTGTGAAGTAGAGTTCTTGAGAGTAGCCGTGAAGAGAAGAAATACCCGGAGCGGAGTGAGAGTCCGGAGCAGTAGACGAGGAGACAGTCCTCCTGGAGAAGAGGAGTAGCAGTGAAGAGAAGACGTTACCTGGAGTGAGAGTCCAGAAGCCGGAGTGAGAGTCCGGAGAAGTGGAAGAGTTACTTGGAGAAGAAGAGTAGAAGTACCTGGAGTGAGAGTCCAGAAGCCGGAGTGAGAGTCCAGAGAAACAGAGCAGAAGTCCTCCCGGAGTTGGAGAAGTGAAGTATCCCGGAGTTGGAAAATTCCTCCTGGAGAAGTGAAGTATCCCGGAGTTGGAGAATCCCTCCTAGAGAAGTGGAGTAGAAGTTAGCCAGAGCTTTGAGAGCTGGAGAAGAGGAGAAGATTGAGAGAGAGATAGAGTCACGCTACCGCAAGTGGAGATCAGAGGAGAGAGAGAGAGAGTTACACTACCATAATTAGAGACAATCAGAGATAATCAGAGACATTTGTGATTTGGAGTGATTTTGGAGATAATTGGAGCTAAAAGAGACATTTTGTTATTTTACTGTAATATTTGTTGTTAATATATGTGATAAACGTTAATCCATTCTTGTGTGTTTCTTATCGACTGTACCTCCAGACCACCAAACCAGGTCTGGGCCCACAAGAGTAAAGTAGTAGTTTCTAGATCGGCGAGAGTTCCGACAATATTTTTTATTTGTTCTTATTTAAATTACAAATGTTTTGGGGGGAAATTGATCTTCGTTGTTTTCATGAACATTTCCGAAATTCTGCTAGTTAATGTTGTACAAGTTGACCAGAAAATCAACAAAGAGTAATGCTATAGGAAGTTGATTAAAATAATCCCAGAGTTCAAAGATGACACAATCTTATAACGTAAAGCTGTTGTCATGTAAGACCTATCAAGAAAATAAAGATAATGTTGAAAATATGGACAAACGAAGGAGGTAAGCTAGCGACCCAGAATAATTCAATCAATTAACAGCTGCGCCAAGAAAGAAAATAAACAACGTAAAAATAAAATATAATGACAACCAGCAGGTAAATGTCACTTGCTCCGGGTACCCTACCCAGTGGTTTCAGTAACTTTCTGCACAAGGGGCAGATGAAAAAACAAGGGGCGCCATTCAAAACAACCAATTTTACACTCCCGAAAATGCAAATTCTTGTCTATGGACAGAAAGTGGACAATTGAACAAGGGCATGGACAGAATTTGCCAAAATGATATAAAATTCTAATGTACATCAATTTCAAAGACAATGTATCTGAAATACAATATTATTGTACAGTCAATCAAAGTTTTGAACTTTGAATGAGCCTAGAAAAATGATCAATCGATTGAAAATTTGAAAATCGTGATCCTGAAAATTTCTGAGAAAAATCGCGATTTACCGTCCATACTCACGAGTTAACTAAATAGACTTTGTACATTTACATGTGTACAGTTAAATGTAAATTCTACATAATTATATGTTCCAAGGAATATATTTCTGAGGTCATATATATTCAATTGGCTTGCTTGTTCTTCCGACCGTACGTTCGTGCGTGCGTTCGTCCGACCTTCCTTTTGTTCGTGGGAGCGTTTGTTCAAAATTCGTTCGCTCATGCGTGCCTTCGTCTGACCGTTTGTTCGTTCATGCGTGCATTCGTCAGATCTTCCATCCGTGCGACGGTCAAATCGTCCGTTCGTGCGATCATCAAACCGTCCGTTCGTGGCAGCGTCCGTCCGACCGTTCATTCGTGGGTCTGTCCGACCGTTCTAGTGTGCGTGGCACGTTCGTCCGACAGTTCATTCGTTCGTGCATTTATTCGTGCATGCGTTCGTTCGTGCGTGCGTCCGTGCGAGGGTTTGTTCGTTTTTTGTTCGTAAATACTTTTAATTCGTTCGTGCCTTTCGTTCATTTCTGAAAAGGGAGAGATACCAAATAGTGGCATACTAAGTACCCTAGAAGCCAACTATGGTGGTATTTAGAACAATACCACAGGTCTGACAAACAGCTTTCATTCCCTATATGGCACACCTTCTCCTAAGAGTTGCATCATTGACTAAATCTACGACAAGGGCCATATGTCCCGAGGATTTTGACTGAAATTTGGCCATTTTCGCCTAAATCTAAGTAAATAGCAGTTTCCCCACAGCTGTATTTAAATAAATATTGCTACAATGTAGCAATTTAAAAATCACACATGCTTACTGTTTCTGTTGACCCGACACGTGTGTCTAGCCTGTAAAAATAAAAAATCAGCAATTTCAGTGAGATACGGGCCCTCAAAATCATGTAATTTTAGCAAAAAATGAAGAAATAATCTGCAATTTTGACGGAATTTCAGAGGCCTTTCTTTTATTAATGGCCCTCCACGGGCCTCTTATGACCATTCTTATACTCACAGAAGGGTTGAAAGTGATTTTAAATCATTGTTTGCCCTTCAGAGAACGAAAAAATCGATTCTGTTCTCAAATTCTGCTAGAATATTGGTCTCTGGCCAACTAGCAGACAATTTTAGGCCTCATATTAAGGTATGAGTACCGTTATCCAACACCAAATTCGAAAAATCATAACAATACTTTGCACATATGGTGTTCGTGATCAACTATAAAACGCTTACCCTCCATAGTGTTATATTTCAAAATGTATCTGTTCATATAGGGGTTCGATTGATCCACATCAAGTTATACATCAAGATATATTTAGCATTGTGTTTGAGCCGAGCAGACGTGAAATATGGCAGCTCCGCCTGACACGGATCTAATCGAGCGAATTCTGTCCAGATTATCAGAGGAGGA